TTGTAACAATTTTGTTTGGTATATTGGAATCGCAGATATGAGATAGGTTTTCACAAATGCACCTGTGCTCACATTTATGTCAGGTGATGACAGTACGTTTTCCTAATCAGTATTATCAACGTGGAAGCAGATATCGTCTTTGTTTACCAATGTGTAATCGTAAACTTTTCTCAGATATATTTTCGTTGACTTCATACATTCTTTTATACATTCTACTCGTTTGGCGATGAATGTGTTCTTAACGTAGACAGCGACCCCACCACCCCGTGTAAGTCTATCTTTTCTAAAGGGACACTGAAAGCCTGGAATAAGAGTATTACTATCTAAAATACCTTCATGGAGCCAGGTTTCTGTCAAACAGATAACGTCTTATTCGTTCAGTTCTAGACCTATGAGTTCAATTTTATCTTTAACACTACAGGCATTTAAATGGATAATTTTAAGATCAGTATAACACGTTGGTCCTGGGTTGGGATGGATATCACCACAAAGTAATAGCAATAAGGTTAGGAGTAGAGATATTCTAGCATCGTAAAGGCACGTCATCATTACTACAAACTTTCGAAAGTTTAATAAATGTGTTTTTTTCAGAAGAAGAGAAGAGAACAAACCCACCGATTGCCTGTATTGAGAAATGTTAACTGGCATTATCGGTCGTTATGAGATCAAATGAATGGCGACAATGGTGGGGATACAAACTAGAACTGGTATAAACTGACCACGAAACATGAATTAAGTCACGTCTGCAAAAATGGTAACAATCAATTACATTCTGAATACAAAATATAACATTTAGAAACATACATGCACTATGTGAACTCAGATCATTTGTCATGAACCGGAAAGTCACGAACAGTAATTGTTGTAAAGAACAATGAAGGTAAAAAGTAAGAAGGCAGATTATAACCATGATGTGCCGGTTAGAGAGGGGGAAAAAGGACATTCATGGAGTTTACAAGAAAACGACTCTTAAATTTAGAAAACACCAACTGTGAAAAGAAATTGTAAACCGTTTACGAGATGTAAACCTGCATACTAAAACACATGCAATCAAAATAGACATATATATTTGTCGTATAATGTTGATAAACTTCAGTAACATGAAAGTGAATGGGAAAAACACACACAAGAGACCAACAGAAAATCCCCCAATACAATCAAGCTAACACAATGAAAAAGAAACTTACACGTGAATCACGTCGCGCCATGTCAATATCGCATGCTTTTCTCGTGAATATCTGTTTTCATGCCATTTCATATCATGTCGAGCATGATTAAAGCGTGCCTCAAGCAGGATTAACTGTTTCTACAAGTTTATAAGCTTTATGGCTGATTTGTAATACCGAGATGCATTGCATAATATTGTGATGTAACTCGGTTTGCACAGTTTAAAAACATTAGGAAAATATCTACAACAGGATATTAAGAAATATGATAGGATTGCAACGTTGAATGAAGTAAAATTTAACCACGGCGTCTTCAATGCACTCTTCTCCCAGGCGGTATGCCGTTTTCATGCTAGTTCAAACTGTGACATAATAATAATAACAATAATAATAGCACCATTGAGGTGACTCGTACATAAAGATACACATAATGTTTGTGTTGTCCGTTATGTAGTGACATTGGTAAGGTAATAACACATTCAGAGTGAGTGAGTATGGTTTTACGCCGCTTTCAGCACTATTCCAGCAGTGTGACGGCTAGGGACGCCAGAAATGGGCATCACATATTGTACCCATGTGGGAAAACGAACCCGGGTCGTCGGTGTAACGCTTAAACCGCTAGGCTGCCTTCACCGCCCCTAAGTCATTTGGAAGTGTGTAAGGGTTTTGAATAGGATTGCAGGAGCACATCGAGATGTGTCATTGAGAAGTTAACGGGATGCATGATATTTACATTCTATTTCCGTACATTAATGTTCAAGGTTAAATCTGATAGCAATCAATACACTTGTTTTCTGTTTCCTTAAAAACAAATATAAAATACGTTATTGTGATGCCAGTAAAGTATATTTTGACTGAATGTATTTGATAATTATTAGTCATTTCCTTTGTAGAATAACCTGGAGAAATATTCAGACATTTAATGTTTGTGTTGTCCGTTATGTAGTGAGACTAGTAAGGTAATAAGACATTCAGAGTGAGTGAGTATGGTTTTACGCCGCTAGACATGGATATCTAACAGGGACCAAATGTTGACTGTGGACATCTTTGTTATAGTTGACAACATGATATATAAAGGCAAGCAGTTTATAATATCATCAGGGGCAACCTGATGCTTATTGACACGTATAACGTCATCTATATGGGGCACACAGGACATCGACTATGTAGTTGCCTCAGCCCCAAACGTCCACCCGATCCTCAGTCAACCCCCACCAACCATCCCAGTGCGTGCACTTTCCTTCCGGCTATCCATTTGTGTAACATACAGACAGGCAGTATGATTCATTCAGTCACAGTGTATTTGTGTAACATACAGACAGGCAGTATGATTCATTCGGTCACAGTGTATTTGTGTAAAATACAGACAGGCAGTATGATTCATTCGGTCACAGTGTATTTGTGTAAAATACAGACAGGCAGTATGATTCATTCGGTCACAGTGTATTTGTGTAACATACAGACAGGCAGTATGATACATTTGGCCACAGTGTATTTCAGTAACATACAGACAGGCAGTATGATTCATTCTGTCACAGTGTATTTTGCTGACTGTTAGCCACACGGCGAAGTCGAAGAAGGTGAAGTAGTGTTTTTGTAATTCCTTTGAAAATACAATGTAATGCACAAGCTGGTTTTGATTCATGGCCATCAGACAAGTAACATAGACTTGTGCAGTCGAAAGGATACAGTGGCAACACTTTTTGTATTGATTTTATTTTGAATATATAAGTGTCCCAAATACATGTATATGTATGAACCGGTAAATTTCCCTTTCAATGAATGAAAATGAGGATCCGCACATTTGAGACCACCTCCACATTCACCCGCGCCCCCAAACCCCTTGCGTACCTTTGATCTGCGTATACGAATCAGTCAACAAACTGAAAACCGATACGTAGGCCACCACATTGACCCCTGACCCCAGCCTGCTGTACAAGAACTTCACTCCATCTCGAGACCACATGCAACCTGGAGTGTTGCCAAAGACCACCCTGACATGAGTGGGAAAGTGAGTGAGTTTAGTTTTACACCGCTTTTAGTAATATTACACAAGAAATGGTACCCATGAATGAACTCGAATCCGGGTCTTCGGCGTTACGAGGGAAAGCTTTAACTGCTACGCTACACCACCTTCCCTGACTACTGTTTTCATCAACTTTCGTGATTTAAAGTGATGCATTGTCATTTGCGTTGGCCTTACTGAATGGGATTAGTGAACCTTACTGAAGACCCCCTACCCACCCATGCCCCCGCCACACACATACCACCATACCAAACAAATACCATCTACCACCCTATCTAGCACATACCATCCACCACCATACCAAGCAAATACCATCTACCACCATATCTACCACATACCATCTACCACCATACCAAGCACATACCATCTACCACCATATCTACCACATACCATCTACCACCATACCAAGCACATACCATCTACCACCCATATACCATCTACCACATACCATGTACGACCGTACCAAGCACATACAATCTACTACCGTAACAAGCACATACCATCTACCACCATATCAAGCACATACCATCTACCACCGTACCAAGCACATACAATCTACCACCGTAACAAGCACATACAATCTACCACCATATAACAAGCACATACCATCTACCACCATAACAAGCACATACAATCTACCGCCGTAACAAGCACATACCATCTACCACCTTTACAAGCACATACCATCTACCACCGTTACAAGCACATGGCATTTACCACCTTAAGAAGCACATACCATTTACCACCATTACAAGCACATACCATCTACCGCCATAAGAAGCACATACCATCTACCACCATAAGAAGCACATACCATCTACCGCCATTACAAGCACATATCATCTACCACCATAAGAAGCACATACCATCTACCACCATTAAAAGCAGATACCATCTACCACCATTACAAGCACATGCCATCTACCACCATAAGAAGCACATACCATCTACCACCATTACAAGCACATACCATCTACCACCATTACAAGCACATACCATCTACCACCATTACAAGCACATACCATCTACCACCATTACAAGCACATACCATCTACCACCATTACAAGCACATACCATCTACCACCATAAGAAGCACAAGCACATACCATCTACCACCATTACAAGCACATACCATCTACCACCATTACAAGCACATACCATCTACCACCATTACAAGCACATACCATCTACCACCATTACAAGCACATACCATCTACCACCATTACAAGCACATACCATCTACCACCATTACAAGCACATACCATCTACCACTATTACAAGCACATACCATCTACCACCATTACAAGCACATACCATCTACCACCATTACAAGCACACACCATCTACCACCATTACAAGCACATACCATCTACCACCATTACAAGCACATACCATCTTCTTCGATCAGCCACATCATCAGAGGGAGAGGCGGTGGGGCGTCCTAGTGGTTAAAGCGTTCACTCGTCACGCTGAGGGCCAGGTTCGATTCCCCACATGGGTACAATGTGGGAAGTACATTTTTGATGTCCCCTGTCGTGATATTGCTGGAATTTTGCTAAAAGCGGCGTAAAACGTAACTCACTCTCTCATCAGTGGGAGAATGTACATCTGTATTGGACACAAGATATCGACTATGTAATTGCCTCATTAAACCCACAATCTCCAAGCATGCCCAGTTAATAGTTAGTTAGCTAATGTTTGTGTTGAAAGAGATATATAAGCTATATGTTTTTATAATTCACATACGGAATACTTACTTTTGGGTACCTTTTCCTCAACTACAGGTTGAGGAATAGATGTATATAAACATGCGTCCCCACAACGTCCTCGTTCTGACGGCGTGTGGGCTGGCTCTTACTCTATGGACTGGTGAGTGTATGAAGCCAACGTTTATGTTCTATATCTGACGCATGTGCGTCTTTACACATGTCATATTCCAAATACTCTGTGGTCAGCTTCCAGGTATTAAGATTGTCATTGATTAAATGTATGACATATGTTCATGAAATATAAGATTGGTGTTTCTAAAGAGTCAGAAGATAGTCAGTAGTGCAGGCCCTTTCACGAATCATGAACTATTAATAATACATCATTTCCAAACATGAGATTTACTTGTCTTTGATGATTGGCTCTTGTGTAATTTGTAACATAAAAGTTCAACTTTATATTAGGTTGGATAACATTGAATATCACTGATTTAGCATCTCGCCAATTCACTTATGCCCAGTGTGTCACGCAGTGTCGAGATATACACGTACACACCAACTGCTGCTTTAGCCAACAGTGTGTCATGGTGAAATGGTTACAGTGTTATTATTAATTATATAAACAGCCTTTTGATATGCATCTGATGTTGTTTTTGGCTGGTGAAATGAAAAAAGTCATAAAAACGGACTTTTATTGTTGTTACTTTTGGTTTTGCACCGAGTTACCAGGGCCTGTGATGACGGGTGTACAATGCTCCACGTTTCCATAGCCTTTCTTGTGTTTCCTTCGTTAGTACGACAACTGCTCTTACGCAGTTTTGGTTGGAACTGTAAAACACATCTGTAACTCGTACAGATTTGCAAAAACACCACAAACACTGTAGGGGAGGACAGTTTATATGTTCTCATATTGATGGAATGATCTGTGCTACATTCTCAGTATTCCAACGCTTCTTTCAACGTGTTGTTAAATCTGTGTCGGGTTTTTATAATGGTTATTAAACATGATTAACTATGAAACCTGTTTTCCACAGACTGCGGATCGGGATACTTCAAGGATGGTTCCTCGTGCAGGAAATGCGAGGATGGCGTCGATGTACAGTCAGTCGACTATAGAAGGAAATGTGATGTTCCCTGTAACCATAGCAACACGTGGGGCGCAGACTGTCGAGAACGATGTAGTGAAGGATGTAGGAATCAAACATGTCACCGGTGGAGAGGACACTGTCTCCAAAACTGCAAGCTAGGCTACTATGGGAATAGATGTGAATTACATTGTGAAGGGTGCAGGTCTTGTGGAGACCGAGGTGATACTTGCGACAATGAGGGTAGGTGTTTGTGTGGCTGCATGGGAAGAAAACGAGGAGACAAATGTGACCAAGACTGTCTACACTGTGAAATGTGTTCAGGAAACAACTGTACATGTAAGACTGGTTTCCATGGAGATGCCTGTACAGTACCCTGCCCCCAGCACTGCTCCCAAAACGTATGTGGTCAGGCAGGAGTGTGTACACGGGGCTGTGGCGTGGGACGGTATGGACCTTCCTGTGATATACAATGTGATAACTGTGAGGGAGACCACTGCACGTTAAACGGGACATGTACTTCCGGGTGCAATAGAGGATGGTATGGACCTTCCTGTGATATACAATGTGATAACTGTGTGGACCACTGCTCATTAAACGGGACATGTATTTCCGGGTGCAATAGAGGATGGTATGGTGCCAAGTGTGATAAAGCCTGTGATGCCAGCTGCGAGGACCAACTTTGTCACGGTAACGGAACCTGTGAAAGATGTAAGCCCGGATTCTATGAAGACCGTTGCAGGACCACATGCAGCACTCGTTGTCGTAACCAAACATGTGACCGGAGTGGAACTTGTGGATCCTGCAGAGTTGGAAACTTTGGGGACACGTGTCAGCGACGCTGCAGTTCCAACTGTGTGAATCACACCTGTGAACAAATATCAGGAACGTGTATCAATGGCTGTGCCACAGGCTGGTACGGAGATACATGTGATGTAAACTGTCCCGACCGATGTGCCTCACCATCCTGCCACAGAGACACCGGGTACTGTCCATCTTGTGCACAGGGATTCCAAGGCACCCACTGCAACGTCTCATGTCCACAGTACTGTACGAAATGTGAACAGTATAGCGACAAATGTCTCACTTGTCAACAAAAACATTTCGGGGACAAGTGTGAACAATTTTGTTCACCTGGTTGTAAAGGAGGAATATGCCGCCACGAAACTGGAATATGTTCACAAGGATGTATTGGAACATTCTACGGCCATTTCTGCAACAATTCCTGCAGCGACCACTGTGTCAACAAAGCCTGTCATACAGGAAGGACCGACGTAGATACACCACAGTGTACTGACGGATGTAGAGATGGATGGTGGGGGGACGACTGTGACAACACGTGTCCTCCTCACTGTGTGAAATGTGACAGACATCGTGGCCAGTGTCTGGCGTGTGAAGCCACGAGATACGGCGAGAACTGTAACTTGACCTGTAACACTGCCTGCCTGAAGTCACAATGTAACCTGACAGGAGAGTGTATAAGCGGGTGTGAGAGCGGGCGTTACGGGAGCAGGTGTTCTGAAAGATGTCCCCAGGTGTGCAACACGTGTCAACACGATGGTGTCTGTGTTACGTGTGCTGATGGCTGGATGGGAGAACACTGTACTGGTAAAACCTTGAGTCATAGCTGCAGGATACGCAGCAGATTTTGGCGGCGTCATTAAATTTGATGAAAAAATAACATTGTCAGTTTGTGTGTACATTTCGCTCGTTAGCTCGGCGTTCTTTACTTATAGCTAATGCATTTCATTGAAAGTCTTTGTCCCTATTTTCAGAACCATATTCACTTCATCGAAAGACTTGGATCCTTTATGCTGTGATTGGTGTCTTGGTGTCAATGCTTCTGATCATGGCAGCTCTCTTCATTAAACGGTATATTTTAGAAACCACTGGGAATATATATTTAAATATTCCAAATTATTTTCCTCATTGAATATTTAGCCTCTGACAATAATTACACATTTTAGTAACAGCTAACATTGGTTTTGATGATGTTCTCTGGTGGCCAGACCGTCCATGTTGCACAGTTCCTTTTCGTGACTGAAAACTGTGATCTCGGGTTCGAATCCTATATTGTCCTGATAATAATGTGATCACCACACTGTACCCGTAGTAAACGCCTTACACCCTGCGTCACTTCGGACTTTGCTCCGAAAAGAAGCTGGTAAACTCACTCACTCTCACTCACCAACTCACTCTTTTAAAGAGGGTAGTCTGTTATGCCTTTAATATCTAACTAACCAGATAATGTGTGCATGCTCTGTACAATAAATACCATGAATTTATGACACATTATACTTCCAAATATCTACAATTAATTTGTATCTTGCAGACACGTCGTGAACGGTTTTGCTGGGATATACGTTTCACCTGTATTTAACGATCTGGAATCAGGATCCGGCAACATCTCTCTGGAACAGCTCGGAGAATCACGTGACAGCGATTACCGACATTATGAAATGATTCAAGACGGAGCCTATCCACAGGCGGCTGGTCCAGATGCAGATGACAGCTCGTCGGAAGTTTCAGCTCCAAGACTCTATGAGCCACTAAGGCCAGTCGAAGACAGTGTGGAGTACACACACCTGGCATCGGTGTTTGATTAGATTCAGGCTTGAGCAATATACACTCGACACTGTAAGTTGTCCGTCAGTGTTGAGGGGTATATAGATTGATGCACCTCTACGTTCCCCATCTTAAACTAACATAGGAGGTATATCAACCAGTGTCTCCCGAAGGACCGGTGGACAATTAATGTTTCTTCCAGCACAACTAATTATATTGCAGGTATGTCTAATGTATACATGCTTTGGTCCGAATCGGGAAGAATCCCTCAGTTAGGCATTTATAGCAGACGTAAAACAAGCACTTAGATCTACTTCATTCAGAAAATATCGCAACTTCTTTCGTTATCAATTGCAGTCCATAGGCGGATCCAGAGTGGGGTGCAGGGGTGTGCACCACCCCTTTTGCCCTGAAAGTTTATTAAATGACCATTGAAGTGTGCACCCCTCCTTTTCTCAGAGTGTACAGCCCCCCTTTCTCAAAAAGCTGTATCCGTCCCTGCAGTCTGTATGTTGGCCATGTAAGGCCAACAGATCGGCAGTTCGAGCCGGAACTACACGAAATGTTCCTTACGGACTATAATATTATGTTATAGTTGTTGTTTGTTTGTTTTTTAACATTTTTCGGGCACATTATGTTTCATTAAAGGTGAAACCCTCAGATTTTGGACAGACCCACCTTTCATTATATGGTATTTTATACAGTTATCTCCCTTACACTGTATTTGCATTGGCAAGGACTATCCCTGAACGTTAGCTAATAACAGTGGTTTTTATAGCACCGACTTCTTTTACAGACGGCTCCTTATCCATCAAATCTCTTGCAATATAAAACTGAAAATGTATTTTTCTTCATGACAACTGTTCTCAAATCTACATGCAGTATGAGCTGTACAAAATACGCCTTTTCTGTGACATCTGACACTGGCTTGTCCAAAACCTAGGATCTGTTCAATCCCGTTGTTAGTCAGCGCTGTGTGAGCGATCTATCAATGTAGTGTAATATATTGTCGATGATTACTTCAGCCACTTGTTACTCACATGTACATAACTCTGAAACACTGTATATACAAACCACATCCACATTGTTGACAGGGATGTACAACAATATACTATCTATAAGCTCTGAGTCACCCTAATCAGACCCCAGCATGTATGAGAAAGTCTTGACTTCCGACCAGTGTGTTACTCAGGCAGAGAGATCGAACTTGCGTTTATGTGTGCCTTACATTCAGTGTCTATAATGAACTTGTGTACATTCTAAATATTTTTACACAGAGCGTTATCTTATCTTTAGTTCATTATATCACAGGGTTTCTCTCATTCCTTTCATACATTCCAACGGCTTATCTATGTTTAATATTAGAAACAATCTGTACTTAACAATACTCGCCTTTGTACTTTTCATCATCTTCACCAACGCAGCACTTATGTAATGACACTGACATGACACCGTGATGACACATGATAACGCCACTAGAAAGGGAAAACTGTCCGGGTGGTATTCTGCCTGGGGCTCCATCAGGCAACAAACATCGTGATCGTTAATGAGTTATCTCCCTTAAACTACATCGTCAATGCCATGACGGAAGTATTATGATCCTTGTCAAATTGATGATCGTTCAAGAATATATGTCTATAAGATGGGTTGAATTTTGACTTATGTACAATTTCCGTGTTGTCTTCTTCATGCTATTCTTTCATCAACTGTTCTATCGATTCTGTTCACTCTCCTCAAAAACTGTTTGGAAATTCCAAATATTTCGAACCAAACGCTATTCTATAAATACATTGGCTTGTCCGATACCCTAGAACAGTTACCTCTACCTTGTTATTAATAAAGCAGTTTTATCCTTTAGTGGCGGTCTTACTTATATATCTCCACATTGATCTCATCACAGTGTATATATGTTCATATCAAGATGTCGGTGAGTTCACCATTATTTTCTCTGTCATCAATAAAATTTCACACTCGTCGTATGGCACACTTGCTCGTGTAATAATCTCTATTTATTCTTTGTCATCAGTTACCGCGTTTCAGCTGTAACGAGACACATACTATACTGTCTAGTACATGAGCAACCCACACTATTCCCAACGAGCAGAGTCCATAGTGTAAGCCCGACTTCATCGTAGCCATGTGTTGAGGGATCACTATTACCAGGTGTTCCGGAAAAACCTTTTCTTTCACACCGGTGGCACGCGTCACAAACACACGGAAAGGCAAGTTAAGTATTCAACTGACAACAACAAGGTAACAATGGTCCGTTGTACAGCGAACAAGTCACAACTCTGGTGAATCTGGAGCTCCATAGATACACATTAATGTACAGATGGGTTGGGTTATCCTGGCTCATTCAACCCTGTTAGACTCATCATCATCTCAGGACCCTTGCCCCTTCCACAAGCAGCCCGAACCACGAGTAGGGCTTGACCCAGAAGCACTGCCTTGTCGAACCCGCCAAGAACAATATGGAGACTCCCCAACACTACAGTCCTCTGTATTACCAAGATCGCCAGAAGGGCTGTGTTTCTGACAGGAAACCCGGGTGTTCTCCTCACAATGTCAGTCATGAGAATGGGGAGTACCAAACCTAAGGCTCACGGAACAATGGGGAATCAGACAACTTGGTACTTGGGACGCACACACGCACGCACACACGCACGCACACACACACACGGATAACCACATTTTCAAACATACAAACACACAGCAAATCCCACACAGAGACCTATATACTCTAGCGCGCCTAGAATATTAAGTTAAATGAATGATTATCATAATCATGGGTTAATGAGAATTCATCATGACACCTGGTGTTCGCGGAAAGGGTAACAAGACTTTTCTGCCGGTAACACCCTTCATTCGTTAATTTACCTGTAACATGGCACCAAGAAATACTCCAGCTTTACTACAGATATCTGAAAAAACTGGATCAAACAATCCAGTGATCAGTATCAAGTCACCAAGCCTGACCATTTCATCGTCCTGATCCAAGCACCAGTAAGTCAGTGAGTTTAGTTTTACGCCACACTCAGCAATATTCCAGCTATATGACGGCGGACCAGACAATCCAGTGATCAACAACATGAGCATCGATCTACGCAATAGGGATACGATGACATGTGTCAACCAAGTCAGCGAGCCTGACCCCCTGATCCCGTTAGTCGCCGACCAGTAAGTGCCACTAAGTACATTTATATCAACTTCCTAAAAATGGCATTATATGGGAAAGCATCGCATCGTGTTGACAGGCGACAGAATCGGGTGTCAAAACGTTGGTTGAAAAGCCTTGCTCATAAAAAATGCGTCTTTCCTTGAAATCTGAGTTATAAACTGTGGAACAGCTCTTTTTTCGTGCAATTGAAAATTGTAAGGACAATTGTTGAATGTGTGTGTGTTTTGTTTATCCATCACTCAAACATTCCTGCAACAGTTGGTTAAAACAGTCTGTAGCTGGGTAATTGTGTGTAAAGAAGAATTGGTTCGATTCCGACTTGGGCAAGAACTAAATATACAACCAAATGACCCCAACAATGTTTGAAACGTATATTTCTGAGATACCATTAAGCATTCATGCGAATATGCTAGGGTCATTCAACTCCAGTTTCTTCTGTCGAATGATGTGGAAACTAACGCAGGCCCAGCCCAAAAAACTAAGAAAGATATAAACTCTGTTAGGTGTGACATTGTGAACGAGATAAAATAGTTTAAACAGCTCATGATTGCTGAAATATCAACAGTCAAATCGCAATTGAGTGACCTATGAGACAAATGCTCTACTCCAGAACATACTGTGACGGATATCCGCAAAGATATCGATAGATTATCACAAGAACGGAGTACTGTATACAATGATGTAGACGAATTAAACAGGAAACTAGAAAACATTGTGGATAAGCTAGATGATATTGACCATTTTATTTTAGAGAATCCTATTACTGAGTCTGAAATAAGCTCATGTCTCAATCATTTAAGAGGGGGTAAAGCAGTTGGACACGACAGAGATATAATTGAATTGTTACAGTCTTCCGAAAATATCA